ATTTGTCCACAAGCACTAGATTTTCAAGCAGTCACAAAACTGCTGACAGCAAGCAGTGAAAGGCCATCACTCTAAATTGGAAAGAAGATAGAAATTTTCCTCCTGAGAGCGACTAAATTATACTATCTGGTGATATATGTTGTGCCTGTGTTTTGTCTCTATTTGTTTCTAAATGCTCTCTCTCTCTCTCTCTCTATGTGTATATATATATATATATATATATATATATACACACACACACAAGATTTAGCACCTTGCCCTTTTCCAGGCTCTATACTTGGCAGAGCTTATTTTAGCAGTTTATATTGAGAATAGTAAACATCAAATTGATGGGTTTGTTAATTTTATTTTGTTTGGCAAAGATAAACGATATAAATTATTTTTCTCTTCATATTGCTTGGTTTTTGACAATTGGTCTTTCTTGCAATTGTACAAAGATAAGGTGATAATATATTATCAAATGAATTGCTTTAATCAAACTAGCATGATTACAGCACATTTACTTAGCAATAGAGGCTTGAAAACATGATTTTCTAATACAGAAAGAAATGTTCTTTAAAAATATTTTAATAAAGAAAATATTTTAAAAATTATTTTGTAATTAAAAAGTGTTTATTTTCTAACTAACTTTCACTTAGTAAGGAAAACTACCATTGCTTACACAATGTGTCTGTCAAATGCAATGTCAGTGGTATCAGAGTGGAGTTTTGGTATATTAACCTAAATTTATCACAAGAAATCTATCCTTTTAAACATTCACTACAATAATTTAAGCAGCACTTGCATTAATTACCATATACATTGCCTTTCATGAATAATAGTGTTTGAATATTTAGTTCTCTATTTTCCTTCTTTTCTGCTGTAAACATCTTGAACATGACTCTTTCTCCCTCTCTGGTTATTTTAAGGGTCATTATCCTTTTAAACCAAAAATCTCTTGCCTTGACATTTTGCCAGTCTTTCCAGTGTCAGAGCAAAAGTGCAGGACTGTATTTTACCATTCTAAACTCATTTCTTCTAATCTCTCCTGTATATATTCCTCTTCTCATTATTGTTTAGCAGATCATGCACACACCAACTTCAGGGATTTTATTTATGTTTTTTGTGGGTTGGTTTGTTTTTTTTCTACATGGATTGCTTTGCCTGAAATATCTGTATGGGTTCCTTACTTACCACCCTCAGGTTTTGACTCGTTCTGAAGGCAGTCAGAGAGGCCTTCTTATACCACCCAGTAATGAACTGTAACTGCCAAGCAGCTCAGTCTTCCTTCCTGCTTAATTTTTCTCCAAAGCATTTCTAGCATACTTTATTTTCTGTGCATGTGTTTTTATTGTTTTTTTCTTCACTCTTCTAGAGAAATTTAATGAAAGTAATCACAACTATTTTTACTAAACCTGTGTTTAAGCACAGTAAATGTTCAGCATATATTGAATGACTAAATTTTGGAAAAATTTTGTTGAACTTTTTTCCTTTCTTATTCTTTCTGCCACCATCAAATAGGTTATGACGCATGTTGACCTTGTATGTTAAATATTCTGTACTCCATGGGTTTTCTTGACTGTCTTAGTCCACTTTTACAGAAGGCAGATACCCAGACCTTTCTTCCATTTTGTCCACTTAGTGGCTTTGAATGACCAACTGTTAAGTTAGTTGTTTTTGATATGTACCCATGAGTTGAAACAGCTTGAATAACAACCCAATAGGATAGATTTATATAGAACTGCCCCCATTGGACTTTTGTAATTTATAGCAGCAGATTGCCAGGTCTCTTCTCTAATGAAGGTGCTGAGATTCACACCATCGGGCTTTCAGTTAGCAGCTGAATCCTTAATCATTGTGTCACCAAAACTCCTTCTTTGGGTTAACACCAATAGCCCAACTGGCATGGGCACTGAGTCAGTTCTAATGGAGGTGACCTTCCACTGGGTTTCCAATGATTAGTCACATGAAACCATTTGCGTCACCCAGGGTCTCTTTCCTTGTATCTTGTTAGCTGATGTGGGTCAACTCCCAACTCCTAAGAACCTCATGTGCTACAAAGTAGAACTGCTTCCATTGGGTTTTCTTGGCAGTAGGAGTGGCATCCACTTCCTAAATAACATGCCTCTAGAAATCTATTAACTTTGATAAACATAGGTAGTTGTGGAGGGGCTTCAGGCCTTTTGTTCAAAGGGTCGCTATGAGTCTTGCTCGACTTGAAGGCAAGCAACAACAACGATCTTTACAGAAGCAGTTTGATAGACATTTTGTCTCCTGGATTGATTAAAACCTTCAGGTCTGCAGCCTATTGCAAATGGTTTATGTCACATAGGCCTCTAAATCTTCCCTATATACCTTATTAATTATCACTATATATGTAAACCATCATTTTGTGTAAAAGAGCTAGGGTAGAAATGAGCTATTGAGGTTAATATATAACTCACACAAGAACCCAAGTTTTAGTCATGCATCTACTCTATCAGTCAACATCTTTTTATGTTGAATCTAATATTTAAAAGGCTTATGAAGTTTATAGGGAACTCTGGTGACACAGTCATTCGTTTGTATGGTTCAAACCTACCAGCCATTCCGTGGGAGAGAGTTGTAGCAATCTCCTTCCCTAAAGATTACAATCTGAGAAACCCCATGGGGTAGTTCTGCTCTGCCTGATAGGGTCACTGTGAGTTGGTATGACTCCATGGCAATGAGTTTTAAGGTATGACTTATACACAGCCCCTATCTTAAAATTAGGGGGAACATAAAACTGTTCTTGTTAGTTATGATGGAGCTGATTCTAATACATGGTGACCCAGGTGTCCAAAGAAGAACTGTTCCATAGAATTTTTCAAAGCTGAGACCTTTCTGAAGTGCAATGGCAGTCTTTTTTTCTGAGAAGCCTCTTGTTGGCTTTGAATCAGCAGCCTTTCAGTTGGTAGTTTGGCACTTAACTGTATGTGCCACGCAGGGACTTCTGTGTTAAATTAAGGGAAGCCAATTAAAGGATTTGAGCTCTAAATGGAACTTAGATGTGCAGAGTTTGTGTAGGTTGTAAGACAGAACACGCAGTAAGACAATTGGTGGGGAGAACATAAAAAAGCTGAACAAGTGAGGACTCACATTAAGTGAGCTCTGAGCAGACTGGCCTGTCTAGAACAGAGTACTCTCTTTGGGATAAACAGAGCAAGGAGAGAAAAGCAGGAGTCTGCGATGTAAAAGTCTTCTAGGAACAAGTTGAAGAAAGTACTCAAGTACTCAGTCCATTTCACTTATCTCAGACTCATTCACCTGCTGTTACTGATACAGGAAGATATACAATAAATAGACCTGTCACAGCTTTACTTAAAATAATGAGAAATTGACATTAACTGACAAAATAACCTTCAATACAATGTAATGATAAATTATCCTCTATTCTTAAGAAAGTGAGAAATTTCCAAGGAATTTTTAGGTATGATTTGCTTTGTCCAGGTTTACTCCAAATTTCTATGTTAAATATTAAGATCATTCTGTGTTTTAATACTGAGGGAAAAAATCTTAGTACTATATAAGTTCTCAGAAGTCATAGTTAGTTTACATAGAAGAAGGGAGAGCTATATATATAATAACCTGCACACTTGAGTATATTCATCCTATTACCATTCCTACTCTTAATACTTTTAATTCTAACTTAGAGAAACTTTTCCCCCCTTCTTCTTCTTCAGTTTTATAAGGTTAAATAAATTATGGCTTCATAATAAAAAAATAATATTCCAGAAAGCAAAAACACCCAAAGAAAGACTCATTAAAGATGTCACTTAGAGGGCAAATACCCATTTTATTAATTGAATTTCAATTGAAAAAAAGAATCTGCATGATTTTTTTTGTTCTCACTTAAGAACCAAAATGAAATTCAGTTTATTAACAAAAGCACAATGGTTAATTAACATATGAAATCTCATTTAATATATTTACTTAGCAATCTAGTGAAAATCAGCAGCTTGATAAAAGGAATTTTTAATCTCTACAAGACTAATGTGTGTGAATTGTCTTTTAGTAAAGTATTCATATGAGATTTAGCTCTTGCATTGGGTCTGCATATAGACTGGTCAGAAGGAGCTTACTTATATGAATAAATCTGAGAAATCTTTTGAAAGAGCTTTGTAATCATTCAATTGAGTCTTACACAGAATGAAAAAAAATCCCCTGAAATGTCTATTATATAATGCTTATAAATTTGTTATAATGAGACATTTGCTAGTTTTTTACTTGATTAACCTTTACATCATACTATAAACATTGAAATGTGTGTTAATGATGTCCTTCTTTGATACTACTTCTTTGTTGTATATATAGTTAAATAGAATATTATAATCATTATTCCCTGTTCCACATTCCATTCCTTCAAGTATGAAAAAAAACAAACCCAACAAAGAAAAACTACACCATTCCTACTAAGTCTATTCAAGTTCAACACCTCCTAGTCTTTTGTGGGAGAGACTTTTGATACTTCACTGTATTGATCATGTTCCTTTGAATATATTTGTGTTAACTAAGGTCTAGTATATGGTGGAACTATAAGCACATTTGACCTCTACAAATATTTTAGATTTCTATAGCCAGAGTAAGAATAAGGTGATTTGTTTTGCCATGTTTGTTTATGGCTATAGTTCCTGTATTTTCTTTTATTTCAGTCTGTGCATGAAATTGTTATACATTCATGTTCTTACAATATTTAGGAATGTATTAATATTAAAATTACTGCTTCTAAGGATTTAGGCAATAGATTTTTAAGCCTTATTAATAGATAATAGGTTTTGCTTAAACTTAATATATAAGTACATCCAATTAAAAATAGTGTGGCATTTTCCCCTTTATTCAACTGTTTACATTGTTTCTTCTATATAAAATAGATGTTTATACAAAGTGAATTTTATTTCCTTGTTTTCTCTTTCTTCAAGGCTTTGAGTCAGAATTATTTTTTTTTTACTACCCTAGGAAAAGTAGTGATGTAATTGTGTTGTTTTTTTTTTTCTCTCTTTACAGATTATTCCATTCAGCAGAATGGAGCAATTAGAATAATTTTGATAAATGAATTCCTATGGAGAATAAGTTGAACATTTGACCTGCTTTGAGGACACAAACTACTTATTTTCTAAAGTAATCTGTAATAGCCAATCCAATAAAAATGAATTCAACAGTATTTTCCCAGATGGAAAATCTCTCAGTGCACTATAATGTTTCAGAGAAGATTTCCCAAGTTTTGACTTTTGAAAATGATGATTGTCATCTGCCCTTGGCCATGATATTTACATTAGCTCTTGCTTATGGAGCTGTGATAATTCTTGGGGTCTCCGGAAACCTGGCTTTGATCATAATCATCTTGAAACAAAAGGAGATGAGAAATGTTACCAACATTCTGATTGTAAACCTTTCCTTCTCAGACTTACTGGTGGCCATCATGTGTCTCCCCTTTACATTTGTCTACACTTTAATGGACCACTGGATCTTTGGTGAGGCCATGTGCAAATTGAATCCTTTTGTGCAGTGCGTTTCAATCACTGTGTCCATTTTCTCTCTGGTTCTCATCGCTGTGGAACGACACCAGCTGATCATCAACCCACGAGGTTGGCGACCGAATAACAAACATGCTTATGTAGGCATTGCTATCATTTGGATCATTGCTTTGGCTTCTTCTTTGCCCTTCCTTATCTATCAAGTCTTGACAGATGAACCATTCCAAAATGTAACATTTGAAGCGTTCAAGGACAAGTATGTATGCTTTGATAAATTTCCATCAGACTCTCATAGGTTGTCTTACACTACTCTCCTATTGCTGCTGCAATATTTTGGCCCACTCTGTTTCATATTTATTTGCTACTTCAAGGTAAGAAAACACTTTTTCCACTGCCACTTTCATTTGTACTTTCTCTGCAAAGACTTCTTATTTAAGTGAATGACTTTAACTCATTTTCTTTTCCTCTATAGATATACATACGCTTAAAAAAGAGAAACAATATGATGGACAAGATGAGAGATAATAAATACAGGTCCAGTGAAACCAAAAGAATCAACATCATGCTGCTTTCCATTGTGGTAGCGTTTGCAGTCTGCTGGCTGCCTCTTACTATCTTTAACACTGTATTTGACTGGAATCATCAGATCATTGCTACATGCAACCACAATCTCTTATTCTTGCTCTGCCACCTCACAGCAATGATATCCACCTGTGTCAATCCCATATTTTATGGGTTCCTGAACAAAAACTTCCAGAGGGACTTGCAGTTCTTCTTTAACTTTTGTGATTTCCGGTCCCGAGATGATGATTATGAGACAATAGCCATGTCCACCATGCACACAGATGTTTCCAAGACTTCCTTGAAACAAGCAAGCCCAGTCGCATTTAAAAAAATCAACAATGATGATAATGAAAAAATATGAAACCATTTGCACTGTATGGTCCTATATGACATCTATTTAATAACAAGCACAACCTGCAACATGCTTTCATTACCTGTTCTGCCAAGGAATGTGGATGAAATTATTTGGGAAAGACAGAGACATTTTCTGGGAAAGAGGATTTTTCATTGTACTTACCGTGATTGCACTTGGAACAAAATGTACAGGCTTTGGAATTTTCTGGCCTTATTTTTTGGCGATACATCTTTGGAGTGCTTTTTGTGAATTTATGCATATAAAGGTTTCTACACTGTATTGTATTGAAAACTTTTTAAGTATTATTGTTAACTGATTTTAGAAACATTAGCCGCCTGCCACTCTCATATATTGTCAATAAATTGGATCATCCTGCTTTAATGACAGAGGGACAGCATATGAAAGTGGGATTCAGGATAGAAAAGTAAAAGAGAATACATGGAAAATCTGAAGTCATTTTGGACTTATCTTTTTAATGCTTTATATGTTAAGAGGATATTTCATTTATTCTTAAGTGATTATCACAAGAGAATTTGAAAAATTGCTTCTTTGTTGGTTATCCCGGGGACTAAGGTCACCTACAAGTAATGAATGAGAAAGCAGTTCCTGAGTTTCAGAACTATTTTTGTAACTGACCACCAAAGAATTTCCATGTCATAGTTTATAAAGTAAATAAGTATTGCTGCAAATAATAGAATTATATGCATATGGATTGATAGGCAAGAAATGTTTTGTTCTTTATAGATTGTTCAGTTTGTCAATATTTATATAATGTAAATATGCATGTAATTCAAGCTTACAATATGTATAAACACTAAATGTATTTTCCATACATCAGTGCCTATATACTAACTCATATTTTTAACTTCCATGTCCTTATTTCCAAAACGATGAGACCAAGATACAATTTGAAAAAAATGTTTACCCTAGATAAGAAGAATAAATATGTAAAAACTGAGAACACTTCATGTAGCCCATGCTAACTTGTATAAGCTAAGTGTGCCTTTGGGAATTTTATAACTAGTGCACCATATGGAGTATTGAATAGTTGTGTCATGTCACTATATTTCATTCTATGTATCTTGTATTTGTGATTGTGTCTTAAAATCATCTGGAGTAAAGATAAAGAACAGGACATATCTTCAGTGTATTATACAAGGTATTCAAGTTTTTGCATTCTGAAGGGCAAACATTTTCTTGATTAAATAATTTTTTCCATTATCTGAAAGGCTTGCTTGTCTCTCTCTTCAGTGTCACTTTGCTTGGTCCTGTGACTTCCCTCCCATTTTGTCCTCAGCATCTTGTATCTGTCATCTAAAGGTAACAATTTCTACCCTATGCTATAGCTTCTACAAAGTACTGAAGAGCAATAGTGTCTCTCTGGAGACGAAGGTGTATCTGATACAGGCCATGGTCTTTGCAATCACTTGTTATGCATCAGAGAGTTAGTTGGACAATGACCAAGGAGGATAGAAGGAGAATCAATGCCTTTGAGCTGTGGTGCTGGAGAAGAGTATTGAGAATAACATGCACTGCTAGGAAAACAAACAGATTCATCCTGGAAAGGGTTAAACTGGGTGGCTCCTTGGAGGCAAGGAGTCTGAGGCTGTGTCTAACATACTTTGGACATGTTGTGAGGAGAGACCGGTCCTTGGCGAAGAACATCATGCTTGGGAGGATGGAGGGACAGTGCAGGAGGGGAAGGCCCTCTATGAGGTGGATTGATTCAGTGACTGGGGTAATCGGGATGGGAGTGTCGGAGACAGTGCGATTGGCACAGGACAGAGCAAAGTTTAGGGCTGCTATACATAGGGTCTCTATGTGTCGCAAAGGATTCGACGACACATAACAACAACAACATGCTGTTTACATTGATTTTCCAAACTCCTATGCTTGCTGGATTACATGCTTCTTGAAGGCAGGAACTGGCTTACATGAGTCTTTGTGCCTCATGTAAATCTAACAGTACTGAGTATTTAGAAGTCATTCAAAATATATTTCTAAAATAATGAATGAATAATCATCTGAATTTCTTCTTACTCATATATTATAATGGCCATGAATCCTGAAATGTCTTTTTTTTTGTTGTTCTTTTTCTGTTTTTTCTGAAATTTCTTAAATTATTCTTTAGCAAGGAAGTGTTGTCTTTTATTATATAATGTTCATTTCAAAACAAAGCAAAAATTGCATCTAATATTCTGAATTATTAGTCATATATGTCAAACAAATATTAAATGTTCCATGTTGAATGTTATTATAAAATCGAATTAATGCCTAAGAAAATAACCTTTGTTGTTGTTTTTAATCGCCTTTGAGTCAAACACAACTGATGGCGACCCTAATAAACAAAAGGCCTGAAGTCTTTCTATAACTAGCGACATTTCTCCAGAGTTTCTAGTTTAGGAAGTGGATGCCACTGCTGCTTCCAAATCTGCAAGTAAACTGGGAGCTCCACCACCAAACACTGTCCACCATGGGTAACCGTTATAGCGCTTGACATCCCAATGACACAAGGTTCAGCATCCCAGCAACCCCAGGTTACCTCAGTACAGCATTTGACAGAATCTGGAACCAATTTCTAAAGCATGATCCCTGTTGAAATGTCACAATCTTTCCTTACCAAAATCTTAGAATTCTTTGGAGAACTAATGAGACATTTTGTGGTTCGTCAAGAACAGCCTTAATGTGTAGGTGCTTCTTGGACAATACATTTGCTGAGATGGCCTTTTCTAGGATATCCATTAAGCTATGTAGGCTGCTGACTCCCTAACTTTTCATAAATAATGAACAGATCACCAAATTCTCCTTAAAGATGTCAGTGAACTACTGATAAAGTCTAGGGTCAGAAAAGATGTATTGGAGTTTAAGAAGAAAGAAAGAAATGTAGACATTATATGTAAACTGCAAGCAGTAGATTTTCTTAAGTTCAAGAACAAAAATCAATTGTTGGTTTAGTATAAAAGCATAATTGTAATGGGCCTAAAATTTAGAATAAAATTATAATAGCTAGAAAAATTTAAGCACATTGTATGCCAAGTACCATGTTAAGTACTTGTGAGGATGCCAAGGACTAATAATGCCACTTCATATAAGAGGAAATTGAAGCTCAAGTTGAAATACTTGGCTGAACTACACACTTAATAAATACATAGTAGAGAAGGAATCAAGCTCATGTCTGCGCAGTGTTTCTCAAATAATTAATTACTAAACTATATTGATTAAATGCTTGACAATATTTTTAAAAAAATTTAGAGTGTAATGTTGTATTCTTAGACTGTGATAGTAAATTCACCTTTATTTCCTGAGTTTAACTGCAGAAAATAATGGAGTGAAGTATAAGAACTGTGAAAAAAATAGTCATTAGATAATCTATCACTCCCTTTTGAATTAGAAGATACTTTTACTGATAAATAAGAATTAGAAGATGCTACTTTAAAATAGAACTTTACTATTCATATTAGGTTATTATTCATTTACTCTTGACTGAACACTCCACATTTTTTTCCCAAGTCAGTAGCAAAATGAAAGACAGGAATTATACACGCAGGGTATACTATGAATGACTTTTGACAGTGAAAGTATTTCTTCACACAATTAAAATGGTGCAAAGTGATGGATATAAACTGAGTTCAAGGAGTAACTCTGGCTGTATGTCTCCCTGCAACACAGTGGGTGGTTCATGGCACTGGTAAATCTTTTTGTCATAGCCAGCTTAGTTTCCTCAGCAATCAAATCTTTAGTCGAATTGGTGAATCACTGTCTTCTATCTCCATCACCTGTTTGTTCCCAGAGATCTGCAAACAAAATGTTGCTCTAAAAGTCTTACATGATGTGAGAGCATAACTTACTAGGAAAAAAAGAGATTTCTCGGGTTTCTCTCAGTCAACGTTTCTTTTAGTGTGTGTGCATACGCACATGTGATTTCTTTTGTGTATGTGTTGAATGCAACAATGTCAGGCTGGAGACTAAGGTGCGTGTGATCCAGGCTATATTCATTGTAATTACGTGCTATGCATCGGAGAGTTGGACAGTGAATAGGGATGATAGAAAGAGAATCGATGCCTCTGAGCTGTGGTGCTGGAGAAGAGTGTTGAATATACCATGGACTGCTAGGAGAACAAACAGGTTTGTCCTGAAGAGGGTGAAGTCAGAATGTTCCCTGGAGTCAAGGATTCTGAAGCTTCATCTCACGTACTTTGGGCATGTTGCAAGGAGGGACTGGTCCTTGAAGAGGGACATCATGTTTGGGAGAGTGGAGGAACGGTGCAGGAGAGGAAGACCCTCAATGAGATGGATCGATTCTGTGAGTGGAGTGGTGGGAATGAATGTGTTTGAGGCAGCAAGATTGGCACAGGATAGAATGGCGTCTAGGGTTCTTGTACATAGGGTCGCTATGAGTTGCAAATGACTTGATGGCACATAAAAACAACAGCAACAACAATAATATTATCGATCTGATTCCTATGTATATACCAGGTGCTGATTGTGGAACAGACCACTCATACGCAAGTTAAAGCTGAAGCTGAGAAAATTTAAATAATATCCATGGGCACTAAAATTTTACCTTGAGTCTATCCTGCCTGAATTTCAAAACCATCTCACGTACAAGTTTGAGGCCTTGATCATCCAGTAAGAATGAAAAAGAGGAGGAGGAAAAGACTAAGTTGGATGTCAGAAGAAACTGAATATGCCACTAGAGTGCTAAGAAGCCGAAGTAAAGCAAAGAAATCAAGATATTAAGGAGTTGAACAGAAGATTTCAAAGGGCAGCATGGGAAGATAAAGTAAATTATTACAATGAAATGTACAAGAAGCTGGAGTCAGAAAAGGGCCAAACTCATTCAGCATTTTTTAAGCTGAAGGAACTGAAGAACAAATTCAATAATTGAATTGAAATACTTAAGTATGTTTTGGGAGGAATATTAAATGATCCAGAAAGCATTAAAAGAAGATGGGAAAAGTATACAAAGTCATTGTACCAAAAGGAATTGCTGGACACAGAAGAATTTCATGAAACAATGTATAAGCAAGAGTCTGTGGTGATGAAGGAAGAAGTTCAAGCTGCTCTGAAAGAATTGGCAAATAACAAGGACCCAGGAATTGATGGCATACCAAATGACATATTTCAACAAGTGAACACTGCCTTGAATCTACTTACCTAGTTGTGCCAATGAATCTGGAGGACAACCACCTGGCCAACTGACTGGAAGAGATCTGTATTTGTTCCCATTACAAAGAAAGGTGACCCAACAGAGTGTAGAAATTCTTGAACAATATCATTGATATCATATGCAAGCAATCTTCTG